AACTTTAATCAAACATTGGCTTGATACTAGAAGCTTAAAAAGGAATAAGCATTGCTTAGCATCCCCAGGAAAAGAAGTTTCACAACCAATGGAAAATTTACTTGTTAATGCTATTATGTATCACAATTATTTTTTAAAAAAAAGAAAATGAGAATGTAAAAGATGTTAAAAGGATATGGGAATGGAGGTGATGAAGTTCTGTGTAGGTTTGTTATGATATATACAGGATGAAACAAAAATAATATACACAATCTTAAATTTTCTATGGTCATGGTTTAGTCAACTAGTTTAAGGAACATAATATATATCTAGTCAAGGTTTATCTGAGAATATTTGGTTTTTTAATTATCTACATAGCACATGGTAATTAAAAGTACCAGACTGGTGGAACTAACCTTATTGGATGTTTAACAGACATACTTTGAGGCCTATACTAATGTGGTCAGAGGAACTTAAAAGACAGTTTTTGCCCCTTGCCCTCCAAGGTTGACTAAGTTCCAGGGGACTATGGAACATCTCTCAAATGTCCTGCAACTGTGGTGAGCCACCTGTCTTCTTGTTCAGGGAGGCCATGAAGACTCCACGAGATGGACTTGAACCAGTGTCTAGTCTACAAAGAGGAGGGTCAACTCAGAGGAAACATTTCCTCCATGCTTCCAAGTGAAGCCAGAGTAGGACCTTTGATTTATCTTCAGATAGTTGGAACTGGTAAAAGAAGCCAGGGGCTCCTCCCAAGCCCATGTGACCCCTGAGGAACAGACCCTCAAACAACCTTGAGTGTAAAAATAAATTATTTGGGCCAACTGTATGGTCTTAAACACCCAAAAGGAAAGTATAACCTAAGAGTAAAGTCATCAGTATATTTCTTTAAGAGTTCAAGGGATTACACTTCCCAGACATTAGGCTTAAGTCCATGTAAGAAGTTATTTAAATAATTATTTCTCATTGGTGATTTTGTTCCTAACCAGAAAGTGCTGCTCAGATGCAAGACTTCATATCTTGGTCTCCAATACTGTAGTGCCTACCTGTAGCTAAGGGAGATAACTAGCTATTGTTCTAAAATGATGGATAAATTTGTTTTCTCCCCCTAGCTAGAAGCCTTTGAGAGGGAACTGACACTGATTCTAGCCACTCCAATTGCGCTGTTCTGACTTTCTTCTAGTTCCCTGTCTAGAACTTGTAATGCTAATTACTCTTGCCTTTACTTCTTCACATCTATTTAAGGGCTTTCTTCTTTGCTTAGAGACAAGAGTTATGCAATTTGGGAGTCTTTTAGATAGACCCATTGAAGGGGTACTCCAATTGCCTTCACCCCGCATCCCTGTTCAGCATGGAAGAAGCCAGAGTGGTCTGCGTCCCTATTCCCTATTGGCAATTTGGGTAACCCCTTCAGGGGATGCCATGATAAGAATAGGAGGAAGGAATTGGCTAGGCAGTTAAGGTAAAAAGGCCCCAAAGAAAAGTAGCCAGTTTCTTGGCTAAAAGTCACAATGTTCCTGGGCCGCTTAGCGACATACTCTGTTCCAAAGGCCAAAAATGTCTAAAGTATTTGGGAGCTTCTATCTAATTCTTAAAAGATTTTAGGGTTACCACTTTGAGTAGCAAAAAGCCCCATAAAAAAAGAAAAGAAGAAGAGTTCATGAAGTTATCAGAAAAAGTGATGGGGGGATATGGGAGGAGTTAGAGGGGAGGGAGTGGGCATGGATTTGATCAAAACACCTGATATGCATGTATAAAGTTCTCAATAAATTATTTCAGAAAACTACTTTTTGGCAAAATGAAGGTTTAAAAATGTCAACATGTAGGCATTAAGTTCCTATAGAGCCTTTTTTTTTGTGGTGCTGGGGCTTGAACTCCCCCTGCTAGAAGGTGCTCTGGTGCTGAGCTATGTCCTCATCCCCGTCCAGGAGTTCTTTTTTGGTCTCTTTGAGACAGGGTCTTCCTGTAGCCCCAGCTGGCCTGGAACTTACTATGTAGACCAGGCTAGCCTTGAACTCACGGAGATCCGCCTGCCTCTGCCTCCTGAGTGCTGGGGCTCCCCTGGCTCTCTTCTAGGACTTCTTACCCTTAGGTGAACTTGCAAAATTTCTGTACCATCTGAGGTACTTGAGGTAGACTACAACGTAAAAGTCATAACCCTTATGTAGGTAATATAATTATGTCTTATTTTAGAAAAGCTATACAGAGCTGCAAAGTATTCCCAAAGTTGTGCAGTCCAGAACCTACAGTTGGGCATCCTCATCAAGGGCAGATAAAGTGTGAATTTCCAAATTTTGAGCACTGGAGAGTATATAGCTACACATATTTTCTATTCATTTCACTAGACAGGAAAGAGGTGCTGAGAATTTTATATTGAGAATTTTATATAGGAAAATAAGTTCATACAGCAAAATATCAGAAAAGACTATTTTGTGTTGCTTTTAAAATAATTTTTCTAACATTTGGTATGCTCATGTGTGGGTCCACACATGCCACAGTGTGGAGGTCAAAGTACAACTTGCAGGAGCTGTTTCTTTCCTTCCACCAAGTGGGTCTGAAATTAAACATAGGCCATCAGGTTGGCAGCAAGTGTCCTTACCTTCTGAGCCATCTTGCCAGCCCTATTTTATATTCTGTACAGATCTACCTCATTAAAAAGTCATCAGATGTTCTAAGAGTAGTAATTCTGATAGCACTTTCCTAATGAAAAATTTTTTGGGGTATACCTTAGGGCTTTTCTGGGGGGGGGCTATTTCTTGATTTTTTTTTTTAATCTGTTCTACAATTTCTGCTCTTAGATAAAATATGTAAACAATTAATGGTGAGATCTCCTATAAGGTGTTTGGTGGATGAGAGGGCTCAGGGGACACTTACCGCCAAGTCTGACAATGTTCGGAATCTGAACCTCAGGATCTACACAGTAGAAGAGAACCAGCTCCTGTAAATTGTCCTCCTACCGCCAAAAAGGTGAAGTAGCATGCGCACATGCATACACAAAGTAAACGTAAATGAGAAATTAAGGGCTGGGAGGATGGCTCAGCAGGTAAGGTGCCTACCAACAACTTGAGCACCTATGCTTAATCCCTTGGACCCAGAGTGGAAGGAGAGAACCTACGCCCACAGGGTATACTCTGACTTCCACATGCATGCCATGGCACGTGCACCCCCACATACACGCATACAAACACATAAAATAAAAATAGGGATTGGAGACATGGATCAGCAGTTAAGAGCACTGGCTACTCTTGCAGAGGACCTGGGTTTGGTTCAAAGGACCCACATGGTGGCTAACAACCTGTCTTTAACTCCAGTTCAGGAGATCTGATGCCTGTTTCTGGCCTCTGTGGGCACCAGGCACACATGTGGTAGGTACACTTACATACATGTAGGTAAAACACTCATACACATAAAATAAGTATCAGTAAAATCTTAAAAAATAAAAATGTAATAAAGGTTTTAAATACTAAGGTATCCTGTTATCAGTTATTCCAATACTGTGTCACAAATATAATGCTGTATCACTTGAGGTCCTCCTTTTGGGGGGCAGAAGGACCCCGATAGAACAGCCGAAGAGGGTGCGGCATGGGGTTACTCCAAGAACATCCCGGGGATGGTGTCAGAGGGCAAACCCGTGTATTAAAATTACATGGAGGCTTATATAGGTAACTATAGGGTGATGGTGTGTCATTCGCTCTGTGGCCAGCTGCTGCCACTAGTATGGCTGACCTCAATGTAGCTCACGGGCTGAGATAAAGGAGTTGTGAAGACAAACAAGTCTGCTGATGGTGCCCACTTCCATCCGGCTGTCACGTGACTGGGTGTGCCCAAGTCAGCTGCAGGCCTTAGTGTTCGAAGGCCTCTGTGCCTGGATATGGGCTTGGCAGGCCTGAACTCATGGCTGATTCAGTCCCACACTTATTTTTATCAAACATATCAAATATGACACAGAGACAACTTGTTTAAGAAAAGTTTTACTAATGTGTTAATATTTCAGCAAAGTTATTGCAACGGGTTTTAAAGGCAGACGATGCTGTTACAGGCTTTAAAGTAACAAGTGAGTTTATACAATTACATTATTACACAGACCTAAGGGGTTTTGTGAATAACTACAAGGCCCAGAAAACAAATCCAGAAGATTAAATGCAGTATTAGCACCTACAATATCTCAAAAGTTAAACTCTCAGCTGCTTCATTCTCTCAAATATTTCTTAACTTCTTCCCGAATACAGTGCTCTCACACCCCCAAAAGAATGAAGGGCATAAGAAATTCCCATACTGAGAGCAGACAGATAAAAGACCTACAAATACCAACAGGAGCTTGCAGGTTTAATGTGAAAGCCACAGCTTACTTTACTTGAATCAATCAAACCAATTCTGTGCACTGAATACTGTATGTGAGGAGTCTATGCATCAAAGTTTGTCAGAGGGGTTAAAAATTAGCAACAGATCCTATCAAATTTTTCTCTTAAGTTATATTTGTAACAAAACTTAGTTAAAATGTTTCTGACACTTGCTTATTACACAATTGGGCAGAGCAGGGACATGTGTGTGTCTGATGGCTGAGCATCTACTTATTGTGCTTACTGATCTGTGTAATGAACAAGCAACACACACAACACCTTCCCAACATTTTGAGGTAATGTACACGAACATACAAATTTCCAAAGAAAATAACCTGGATTGCATTAAATACTGCTTTAATAACTGCATAATAAAACAAATAACATTATACATTATTTTTTGATGAACTTGAGTTTCAGAAACCGAACAGTAGAAATAAATGCGAGTCATGGCAGTTCTTGGAAATCTAGGCGATGCGGTAATAAAACCCCAGACACAACACCCCACCTGGAGAAAAGCCTTTTTTCTTTTTCTTTTTTTGTCTTTTTGAGACAAGGTCTCCCTGTAGCCCCAGTTGTCCTGGAGCTCGCTATGTAGATCCACCTGCCTCCACCTCCCGAGTGCTGGGATTAAAGGCGTGCACCACCGCGCCTGGCTCTTTTGTCTGTTTTGAACAAATAAAAAACCTCCAAAAGCTCTAATTTGGGGGAAGAACTGAGATTACTTGTTTAAGCTGAAAGCCGCCTAGGAAACTGACCCAAGGAATGATGAGAACTAATGGTGCTGGCGGAGGAGAGAAAGAAACTGTGTCTTGGGCTGACCAACTGCACATTTTTAAAATAGTTTTGAATTAAAAAGTGAAATGCTGCTTGGTGGCACACACCTTTAATCCCAGAGTTCAAGGCCAGCCTGGTCTACCTAGTGAGTTCCAGGACAGCTGGGGCTACAGGAAGACCCTGTCTCAAAAAAAAAAAAAAAAAAAAAGACCAAAAAAAGTGAAATGCTTTCTTCTCAGAAACGAAATAAAAGATTACAGAGTCCTACACAATCTGGAGACACAAAGTAGATGCTGAGCGACTATCAGTCATTCCAGGTGTGGAATTTTAGAAAGTTAGTCCTTAGAGTACATGGCACCGTGGCTCTGGCAGCAGATACAAGGGAATGATGCTCTGGAGAGGAGGTAGGGACACTCTGCCATCAGCCAGTGGATAGATGAAGGTCCCAGCTGGAGGTGGGATCTATAATTAGACAGAAAAAATGTTTTAGAAAAGGAATGCTAAAAGTAATCTCTAAAACCATCTCTTATAACAAATGATAATGACCTTATTATGTGGACAGTGTTCCAAAAACCCAGGGTTCTAAGAAAATATAAGGATCTAATACTCTACCTAAACCAGTATATAGCTTAACAGTCTAGAGATGCAGTCCTGTACGGCAGGTCCCTGACAATACGTCCCAAGAAGTCGTATAGCACACGGCCAGTGCTAGTCACCGAGTAAGAATGCTTTCATTGTTACCTACTGTTTACCCTTTACAACTTCAATTCTCTGTGCCTCAGTTTTCCTACTTGAAAAACAAGGATAACTAACTTGTAGATCTGTGATGGTTAATCATTCATGCTGTCATGTAAGTGCTAACAAATGTCAGCTACTTTTATTATCATTCACTAATTTACTGTGATAAATAATATTTCTGACTGTTCTTGCAGAGGACCTGGGTTTGATTCCCGGCATCCACATAGCCACCAATAACCATCTGTAACTACAGTTCCAGAGGAATCCAATGCCTTCTTCTGATCTCCATGTTATACAACATGGGTGCACTTACATATATGCAGGCAATATACACATAAAATAAAAAATATAAAAATAGTTTAAAAATTAAAGAGAAGAATATTTTTTTCTTGAAGCTCTTTAAAAATAAATGGCATCCCTATGGCTTGCATATTCTTTCGTTAAACTGCTAATTCCCTTGCCGGGTGTGGTGGTGCACCTTTAATCCCAGCACTGGGAGGCAGAGGCAGGAGGATCTCTGTGAGTTCAAGGCCAGCCTGGTCTACATAGTAAGTTCCAGGACAGCTGGGGCTACAGGGAGACCCTGTCTCAAAAAGACCAAAAAAAAAAACCAAAAAACCCCCAAACCAAAAAAACCTGCTAATTCCCATTTAGTAATACATCGAGCTATGGGCACCTTGTAGGCTTAAGGAAAACGGAGGAGGCAAGTTATTCTTATACTTTTATGTCCTTCTCCAAAATCCCAGCTCACAAGGAACACATGGCTCTGAAAGCTAAATTGTGTTGAACAAAAATATTTGCACTCATGAAACTATCCAGAAGTTCCTAATGTAAATCTTGCCTGTTTCAAACTTTCACAGTTGTCTGAATATTGATACTTTAGACTCTGGGGTGTAATTGCTCAAAATCCCATACTACCTCAGAAAAAATTCCATTAAAGCAGTAACAGTTACAAAATGAGTCACGACAAATGGATAAATGTATTCCTACAGCATGTAACAAAACCACACAGAGTTCCTAGTTGCTCAGCTGAGAAGTATCTGTTTGGAAACTGTACATGGATAAGTAACACTATGTGTTCAAAACAAAGCCCTTTTAAAGAAATAAAACAGATGGTGGAGGATGTCATTATTTAGATCTCTGGCTTTCAAAACATCAGGTGACAAGTTAACTAGAGCTAAAAGAAGGCAGATTTGAAAAGTTGGGTGATTTATAGAATTCAATAAATGGGACAGGAGGAGACAAAATGTGGTTTTTAAAAAGCTACTAAAGGGACTGTAGAGGTAGCTCAGTGGTTAAGAGCACCTACTGCTCTTGCAGAGGACCCGTGCTTGGTTTCCAGCACCACATGGTGGCTAACGACCATCTGTAACTCCAGTTCCAGGGATGTGACACCCTCTTCTGGCCTCTGTGGACACTTTATGCATGTGATATATACCTGCAGGCAAAATTCTCAGTACACATAAAAGACGCTGCTGGTCTGTCCTCCTTTGCCATGTTCTTGCTGCTGCCAACACCGAGAGAATTGCTGTCTACAACGAATGCCTTTTATTAATCAGATTCTGGGCTCATCTAATATTTGTTAACTGTGTGACCTTAATCATTTAGTCTATATTTACCTCAGTTTGCTCATTTGTAAACTGGAGAAAATACCTTGTAGGGACCTTGTGCAACTGAGAAATACCATTAGGACAATACTGGTAGAGTAGAAGCCCCTGGAATAGTGTCTACTAGTTTTCTGGTCCTTGACAAACATGTCTGCTTTGTGTACTTTATGTGCTGTGCTGCTTGTTAACCAGTAACAGACACACCACAAAGCACAGCAGAACAGCCAGCCAAAACTGATGGAAACAGTGATGTGCCAATATCTTCTGTACTTTGGAAGACTGGGGAAATACAAATATGGGCTCAACAGTACTTGCCTACACAGTCTTATTAATATTTACTTAACTGTTTCTTATTTATTAAAGGGCATCACCTGAATATGGAAGAATATTAACATTTTAACCAAAGGACAAGAATTTACGGTTCTGCCCACCAGGTGAAGTTTCTTCTATAAGGTCCTGAAGTCACTTAAGACTAATAAAGAATATTTAGATTCTCCCCATTCCCTCCCTTAAGTGTTCTTTTGCTTACTTAAAGCCATTTGTCATATAGGTGGGGAAATTTCTGAACTGATTCATATACACAAAACCTAAAGAGGCCAGAATAGTTTCAAAATATTAAAGCAAGCCCAATAAACTCCTCCTTAAAAATCAAAATAACAACCAGTCTGAAGACAATACAGGGGGAAGCAGAACTTAAAGTCCATTACCAATTAAATTTTGGGTCACACACACTCAACGTGAACCTGTGATATATCAAGCTTATGCAGGAAATACAACAGTAACTGCATGACTGAATGTTTTATTTACCAAGCAGGGAAGAAAATGTTATGCATAAAATTTCAGAAAGCTGCATGAAACCATGTGATTTCATATTTACCTTTAATCCTATGCTTTATCTTCCACTGCTCACACCTCTGTCTTCATAGATGGTAATTTCAATCTAAGCAGCATGGCCGTTAAGAAAACACATGAGAATGTAACACATACAGGGGGCCGACAGCCGCAAGATGCTGTACACAGTCTGGTTTCCAGATTCTGCTTTGCTTGTCTTTGAATTATTAAAATGTTTCCTTAAATTAAACATGCTGTTCTGCTCTGCAGAAAATTTGAATGAATTATTTGCAACAGTCTGCAAATTAACACTGATTTAAAACAAAAAAATCTGGAAAGTATGCTTTATTTGTGTAACTACAGAATTCTTAGCTGAGAATTCATAGAGGTAATGAATTCAGGGGTTTAAAAATGCCCTGAAATTACATGAAAATCCTTTCTTGGGCAGGGTTCATGACCCCTAAAGAGTCATTGGCAAAGTAAAACTGCTACAATTGTTATCAGCTGGAAGGCAGGATCATGTGACCTAGGTTTTAAGAAGACTAAGCCATTACTTCAGTTATCAACTAAATGAGCTTTTTGCAATTGTATTTACCAAGTTCACCTGGTTATGTTCAAGGCTTATTGCCTCTAAAAAGAAGGGCAGTATGTCAAAGGTAATGAAATTATACATCTGGCAGCTGTAACTGATTTCCAGCAGTTGGATGAACCTGTGGAACTGCAATTCATTTGGATGACAAGTCTCACCACACATTTCAGAGGGGCTTCAGGGTCAGTTTCTGCAGCTGAAATACATTACTCACACAAGCTTCATTATTGCTACAAGATGCCTGCAAAACCACCAGGACAGACAGTAACCAGAATACTAAACAATCCAAAGACCTGCACGATGCAAAGATCAGGGAGACATGATTTAAGAAAAAATGATGGTGATAGGATGCTTATAGTATATAATTCACACAAAACTTCCAAGGCACATATAAGTAGGCATTAAATTCTCTCTGGCCTAGGCCAAATAGTACCATCAAAAACTTGTGTAAATATTTAGACTGATCTGGACTAAAAGATACAACTCGGAGTCCTCTTTCAATGGGGTCTGTCAGGAGGAGGCCTTGGGGAGCATATATCTTCTCATTCTGTTCTTGAATGTACTTGGAGACTTTCTTCAAAACCTGACAGAAAGAAACACCACAGCTTTTTAGATTTCACTTGATGTGTCAGCTAGATTTCAAAATATTCAGGCAGTGAGGTTTTTGTTTTGCTTTTTGTATTTTTTGTGTTTGTTCTGAGACAGGGTCTCACTATGTAGCTCTGGCTGGCTGGAACTCACTATGTAGACCAGGTTGGCCTCGAACACACAGAGATCTTCCTGCCTCTTGAGTGCTGGGCTTAAAGGCGTGTGCCTCCATGCCTAGCAAACATCAACCGTAAGTTTGTTCTGAAGGCAAGTCATATAGACAACTTAGAAGGTGAGCAGAGTTTGGACCACCTGGCTCTCATCAGCTATATAGAACAGATGGTAACAGTGTGATGGAGTCTTCAGGTCAAAGGTGTCTTCCACGTAGTGTGAATGCAAATGTACAGGAAGTACAATGAGAACCAAACCCTTCCCTTCTCACCTCAGTCCTGGACACAGGAAAATAAGTAGTTCCCCCACACAGTGCCTAGTCCCACTTTCCTTTCATTACTCAGAGTGTTAATATGACCTCTTCTAACATCAGGGTAGTTCCTGGCCTTCCCTCTTTCTTCTCTCTTTTGTACATTTTCCTTCATTTTAAGCAATGATGTAAGATTGGCCTACAACCAAAAGAGCCCCGTCATACAGACTGGGAGATGTGGTTCCTCGGTAAAACATGCACATGGTAGCGCTCACGAAATTTCAGATCACGGGTGTCCTGCATCATTTCTGTTGGTATGCAATGATATTCTGTAGTTCGCTCTTATCTCCTAGACAGGAACTGCAATTTTAAATTTAGTATTAAGCTTGCAAAAGTCAAAGGAAATGTAGACAAAACCCAGATAGGATACAAAGAAACTTCTGGAAAGAGCTAACTCTCCAGTTTTTAATAAGGGCAATTCTGAGGCAGTAAGAAAATATTACTAGCTTTATCCAACATCAAAGAGTTACACATTTTATCTCAGGCTTAAAGTCATTATAACCGTTTTCTGGCTCTACTATTCAAGATGACTTTGATTTAGTTCTTTAAATTATTCTATATTTCTTCGAATTTACACTATCAGCAAATGATAGACACACATGTGATCACAATATAAAGGGAAAAGGCTGTGTATGAAAAGTGGGATATTAAACAATGTTTAAATATATAGTAGGTGTACCAGGAAAAGTACCAGTAAAAAGAACAAAGGAGGTAGGATGTTACAATTTAGATGCTTTGGCACTAGCTTAAAATAATAAAGCTCTATGTACTTTAAACAATTTTCTTATTGAAAGGAAATTTGGTTGTATCTTTGGGGATAATCTCAGGTTTTTCTTTTTTTAAAAATGTGGATAGATATTGAAAGAGTATGCTACATGGTTCTTTTATTCAGTAAATTAAAAATGCCATTTCTAAAAGCAAATTTTAAAAATCTAATCACCTGAAGCAATGCATTCATCACTGTCTCATTTTCAGCTTTGAAAGAATGTGGGCTGTGTGGTCATTATGAGCAAAACCCCTTAGGCACTATCTTTACATCACTTTGTCAATCACCCTAAACTGATGAATGGAAGGAAGTAGGCCATAAACGTGTCGGACTAAGGGCTTTGAATCACCTCTCCAATTTCCTTACCTCAACCGCCAGAATGGGAAACTGGAGACCAAGTCTCCCTTCACCCCTAGTCCACAGAAGGGACGGTCAGAAATGTGGACATGGTTGGTTTTTAAGAAAGGATCACTTTAGAACAGATTTCCTCCTTGGGTACAGGTTACTCTCAGAGAAATAACATTCTTTTATTCATTATTTTTATTTGATTCAAAACAGCTTTGTTGGGAAAAGTTCTGTTTAAACTTTAGTGCCATTTCTGTGCATCTGGGTATCTATTTAGAAGGAAAATGACTGTTTCCTTTTGTAAAGGCTTCACTTTGGTGGAGGTGATACTGCTTTAAACCAGTTTCTTTCGAACACTTCATTTTTAGTAACAGTAAACTATTGATAAGGGTAAACTCACCCTGCCATCCTGGACAGCACCAAGAGACTTTAAGATGGCATTTTATTCACACTTTATTTCATTTATTTCGTATGTGAATATATGTGTGTGTGTGGTGGTGGGGGTCAGAGGACAATTTTCAGGGGTCAGTTATCTCCTGTTACCCTGTGGAATCTAGGAATCAAACTCAGTTGCCTGCACTGAGCCAACTCATTGGCCCTTACACTTTAAATCAATGTCAAAACAAACCAAAATATTTAATAAAATTAGTTGCTTATTTACAAAATGAAACAAACTCAAACCTCCAGAAAGACTACTGTTCTTCCTGAGAACAGATAGACTGCTAGAATTTCCAGAAAAATAGCACAAGCTAGGTTGAGTTGAGAATAGGATCTTGGCGTTTACAGAAAATATCCAAGTGTTCTCCTTACTGATGGCTTTACAAATTATAGTACACAGGCAAAAGGGGTGCTGTCGAGCTGACAAACAAGGCAGACAGTTACTGAGGAGAGCCTTCCACAGGCTCATTTGTTCCCTAATTAGAATGGAGCGCAGTCATGGAGAAACAACAGTGATGTCTTTATAGTCACCTAAAAATCAATAAATAGCATATTATAGGCAACAAAGTACATAATTGTTCTAGCAAATTTTAAAAGGCCTATTGACAATTTCAAAAAATTGAGCCCACATGACAAAGTACACACATTACACTTGGTTTACTATTTGTAGACTAGCAATTTTAGCATTTAAAAGTGGTCACTAAATGACTCAATCCTGTCGTAAAGAAACAAAGAACACAGGGGCTCGGGAGATGTCTCAGTGGGTAAAATACTGCTGTGCAAGCCTGGTGATCTGAGTTCAGATCTCTAGAGCCATGTAAAAGCTGGGCACTGTATCACAAGCATCTGTAATCTAAGCATGCTCCTGCCAGGAGATGGGAAGCTACCTGGCATTTGAAGCAATGAGCAACAAGGACGGACCCCGCTTCAAACACAGTGGAAAATGAGGCCCCATACCGAGGTTGTCCTCTGACCTCCACATGTACCATGGCACATACACAGTAAATAAATGTGTGAGTTGGCTGACACCCAATTACTAATTTCTTCCTACAACTGACATCAGTAACAGACATCTCTATTTCAGTAAATATTCATGGACAAATAAAAGTTGACTGAAAATGTATCAAAATACTACTCTAATATGCCACTAAACATAAATAAGAACACTCTAGAGGACATATTTCTATCTTCACTCGCAGAAACATATACTTCTTTAAGACCATCTCTGGATGACTATGTATTTATTTATTCAAGTGAATTCAACTTTCCCTCACTTTCCGACACTGGGCTCCTCCTTGACTCCTGGTCCTACTACCAACATATCCCTTGAAGTCATTCATCTTCTTCCACCCACACTGCCCTGCTCCTAATCTGTGAAACTCCCTAACTTGTTTCTTCATTTCTAGTCTTGAGCCCTCTTCCCACAGAATGAAATGCGTGACCCTGTTACTCTGCTGTATAAAACCTCTGAATAGCTTCCTGCTGCACTAGAGATAAAATCTCTTTCTTTCCAAAGCCTAGAACTCCCACATGATAGAACTCTTGTTTCCCTTGTCAAGTTCACCCCAAGCCACTTGCTTTCTGGTCCTCCTCATGAGTCATAGTATCTTCTTTCAGTTCTTAGGACTCATCAAGCTCCCTGAGCCTCTGCACATACCCATTTTTGCCTGAACGGCATGAGGTTTTTCAACCTTTACATAAAAGCATTAATGTCAGCACCTTGGAGGTCTTTTCTGATTATAGACAACTTCAGGTAGGTTCCTCTTTTAATTTTCTATGTCAGGCCAGCTTGCCTCCTACAAGGCAGTAAATTTTCAGTTTTGTCAGGTTTGTTATTATCAGTTTACTATCATTAAATTATAAGCTTTACAAGGTCAGCAACCATGCTCACTTTGTTCAGTTATGCCCCTGGACCTTGAGCAGCACAGCATTGCTTAGCACAGAGTGATCTTTCAATAAATACCTTTTGATTGCATTCACTCAACAAACAGACCATAGAGAAGAGATACTAAGGCTAACACTGAAGGCTAGTACAGGTCCTTGGTAACTCTGGATTATGAAAGGTAAAAAGGAGCAAATCTGTGGCTTTTCTATGGGTGTGGAGAATTGGACTATTAAAGTTACTGCCGTATGTCCTTTGATGGAAAACTCAGTTTAAACTAAGGGGGCACACATCAGGATTCTAGTAAAGAATCAGCACTTTCAGTTATCAGCTCAGATTATATTACTTTTTACTTGTTTTTTTTTTGAGAAAAGGTCTCTTACAGCCCAAGCTGGCCCTGAACTTGCTATGTAACAGAGGCTGGTCTTCAACTCCTGATCTTTCTGCCCAAGTGTTGGGATTACGGCATATGCCACCACACCTGCCTTTTTTGTGATACTGGGTATCAAACCCAAAGGCTGTGCACATGCTGGGCAAAGTGCTCTACCACTGAGTTCTACTTCCAGCCTCAAAGGATCGCAATATTTTAACTGCAACTCTATCTGCTCTACCTTACATGGACCCCAAGACAACCACAAGGATAGTTCTATGAGGTGGTCTGTAATATAGACAGACATTCTTATAGCATCTCATTCTTTAAACACTGCAGAATTTAGAGATGTTTGGAGTTTATTGTGGTCACTTAGGTAGTATATTTACTTAACACACATTGAAGGAGTGCCTAATATAGCCAAAACATGGTGCCAGGCATTAAGATGGATACAAAAATGTTTATGGCAATGCCTGTAATGAAGGGCAAAAATGACAAGAATTACCCCGCTACACACACACATACAGCTCCCTATGTTCCATAGTAGTGATGCATCACGAGTGCCAGAAAGCACAAAAGTCATTTAAATTTTAAAGGGACACAAAAGAGAGAAATAATCTGATAAAAGTAAAGAGAAGTTTGATGGAGGCAGGAAATAAGGGACAGGTTGTAAATGAAAATGGCCACTGGAGGTGGGGGAAAACCACGGAGGCTATTCTAAATGGCTGAAAAGTAATCAAGTTTGGCTGCTGAAGCCAGTGAAGAAAAAAGGTAGGAGAGCCAGAAAGGCAACCCAGAGGTCAGTCTGGGAGGGTCCTGGGCCGGATCCAGCAACAGTAACTGGGGAAAGAAGGTATCTGACTTCGCAGGAGTGGCAGATGGGTAAGGCTGTTTTATGAAGGGCAGGTGAGATGAACCAGACCATTTAACAGTCTAAGGGTGAGATGGTAGGGCAGAAACAGGGATGGTGGCAGGAGATCACGAAATGCTAACGATCAGGAAAATGGAAGGCATTACAGCTTTTACAATGGGCTGTTTTTTTCCCCTCTTCATCCCTTACAACTAAAGATGGTACTGAAAAGACAGCTGTGCTACTGAACAAAATGGAGGCAGGAGGTTTGCATTCTGGACATCTCAAATTGAGAACCAGCAACTCCAGATCTGGCAGATAGTTGGAAAGAGGAAAAAAGAACTCAAGTAGGAGGATAAGACTGAAGAGAGAAATTTGGACAAAGTAAAAGGATTCTCAGCTGACCAGAATGACAACATAGAGATTCACGCGAACTGCAGACCAGTCTGAATTACTAGAGATGCTTCTATAAGGTTTATAGCAACTGCCACTATGTAAAAATGTCTTCGTTCATGATTTTGAGATTTTTTGTGAACATATATGTAATCGTACCTTCTCATAGTGAGTTTCCATGCATAAGAAGATGGTATATGCTGTTAAACAAGCCAAACAGCCTTCAAGATATGACTGGCCCCCAAGCTTCTCTGCTTCTGCATAAAGGTTATTTAGGGTTCGAACTGTTTCTTCAAACTGCTGCCTATCAATCTGTAGGGAGGAAAGAATTTAAAAAATTTAGGAAGAAGTATCAGCAATTCATCAATGTTTACTATCATAAACCTAGTTTTGACAATACCCTGAATTTAAAAGACAGCAAACAGATCAGGCATGGTGGTGCACACTGGTAATCCCCACACTTGGGAGGCTAAGGCAGGAGGATCAATAGCTCAAATCATTCTTGTATATATAATGAGTCTGAGATCAGCCTGAGCTACATGAGACTCTCTCAAAAAAACAAAAAACAAGGAAAAAAAATTTTATGTGATTAAAGCTGGACCTAAGTTGCTAATACTACATGGAGTTTAATTTTTATCCATGTTACGAAAACCTGGGTGTCTTCAAGGTTCAATATGGTACTTATTTACACTGAATTTCTAATGATATTATAAAATTTATTCTTCTTTCTATTCATTTGTATTTTGAGCAGTTACTACTATGACCAATCTTTATATATCTATATATATGCATATATATGTATTAATATATTAGCAGGGGGCATATAAGGAAGAAGTTTCTTTTATCTTGAAAATACTTTTTTTTTTTTTTTTTTGAGACAGGGTCTCGCTATATAGCTCAGGCTGGCCTCACACCTCTGATCTTCTTGCCTCAGTCTCCCAAATGAGGGTGTGCGCCACCACACCTAATAAAGAACATGCAATCTTAAATCGAGTGAGTACCTAAATACTGGAATTTACGAGGCAAAAGTGAAAAGGGAATTTTAAACAGAGTGATCAAATGGTAAGTCCTACGTTGTTTATTCGGATTCCTCCTCTAAAGCAATCATTTTTGTCACTAGACATACTACTAAACAGGGCAAAAATCTCAAACTGACAGAAGAATTTGTTATATTAAGCCATTCTTAACCTCTTTCTACCCAGTGACACTTTAGTCTTACATTCATAGCAATACAGTCATGTGTCTCACAGTGATATTTCAGTTAAGGACAAATTGTGTAAGTCCCATAAGAATACATTACCTAATGACATGGCAGCCCCTTTGTATACATATGCCCTATGATACTCAAGCAGGCACTTGCCTCACAACCCATTTCTTAAATCATGATCCTTTCTACTGTCTTCCAATTTTTTCACTCTAGCCATGCCCCTTCTCCCCTTTTTTAGACACGTCTCATGTAGCCCAGGTTGGCTTCAAACCACTATGTAGCTGAAGTCAGGATGAGCTTGTGTCTTCGCCTCACTAGGATTACAGGTGTAAACCATCACATCCAATTTTATTTGGTGCAGGGGACTGAACCCATGGCTTCATGCATGCTAGGCAAGTACTCTACCAACTGAGCTATATCGCCAGCTCTAGCAATCTGTTTTTACTTTGTTCTTCTTATGTTTTGTAGACTCCAAATCTGTATACTTTACCCTAGGATTTTAAAGGTCCGTTATTAGTAGAGTACTTTAACTGACACTATCATTCTCTAGACTTTTTCACCCGCCTCTCCTATTCCTAAAACCGCTATTCTTATGAAGTCTGTTTTAGAAAGTCCTTACAAACATTTAGAAAAGAAATCAAAGAGCTATAATACAGTATGAGAAAAAAAATATTTCTAAGAAGTTTTTCAGTGCTGATCGAACTCAGGGTTTCAAGCATGCTAGGGAGGTACTCTACTACCAAGCCACATGTGTAGCCCAAGAATATAATTTTGGTCTTTTTTCTTTTTTTTTAAAGATAGGGTCTCCCTGTAGCCTGGAACTTCTAAGTAGACCAGGCTGGCCACGAACTCAAGAGATCTGCCTGCCTCTGTCTCCCAAGTGCTAGGATTAAAGTTGTGTAGTGCCACGCCCGGCTCCAAGAACATAATTTTGAAATTAAAAAAAAAAATTATGTTCCCTTTCTTGAGCTCTTAAACTCTCTTATGTCAGGAGCAGCTGTAATCACTATTTTGTCTTTAGTGTGGAAAACTAGGACTTACTAAGCTTAAGTTTTTCTTTATGGTTTCACATCTAGACTTTATATATACTATCCCATCCAAAAGATTTTTAAATAATTCGTAGCAATCATAATTTAGTACTCAGACCAAATACAGCTTGAGTGGCTTTATAAATATTATTTTATATTCCAGTTGATGAGGCTATTTTATCTGTTTTACAGATGATAAAACTGAGACATACAATTAAAACTTTTCCTAAGACCACTCTGTACGTGTTAGAACCTAAACACCAAGAGTTCCTGTATCTATGAGTTACCTATGAATTTTTGAAAACCCCAACCCTTCAGTTCATAATGCAGCACATACTTTTTTTTTTTTTGTCCTTTTGAGACAGGGTCTCCTTATAGCCCCACCTGGCCTGGAACTCCCTATATAGATCCGCCCGCCTCTGGGGTCGGGATTAACGGCATGCACAACCAACACCTAGCTTGCAGCACATACTTTAAGACAAGACAACTAAGAATAAAGAGGAAGTTGAATGTAACCTTTGAAGTGGGTGGTTTTTACCTGTTTTTCAAAAGAAGCTATGTTCAATTATTTTTGCAATATTTTGAGCTTCTGACATGGGCTGGGTGGACAAAGATGCTGAGAACGGGCAGCTTTCCTTCATTGCTCTCCTAGTGCAAGAAGATGTCAACTGGTCACCAAGGACCTACACTGGGTGTTTCTGCCCTCAGAACACACTCAGAACAGCTCTGTGATGTTTAAATTAATGCCTTCAGTTATCCACTGAGCATTTAACAGTCTAACTTCCACTGTTGTTTCATTTGCCTACAATGTTATGCTAAATTCCTTTAAATTTCTTTATACCCAACTCAAAATGATGGGATCCAACTCAGGATCACCTTATGTTTTTCAGATTAGAATTGCCCTTTATACTAGAAACACTAATTTTTAAAAAACATTTTCTGATTATTTTTTAACACTTATTTTTATTTTATGTGTATGCGTGTATTGCCTGCATGTAGGTAAGTGCACCCATGTTATGCAATGCCCATGGAGAACAGAAGAGGCTGTCAGATCCCCTGGAACTGGAGTTACAGACAGTTGTTAGCTGCCACGTGGGTGCTGGGATTTGAACCCAGGTCTTCTGCAAAAACAACCAGTGTTCTCAACCGCTGAGCCAGCTTTCCAGCCCCATTTATTTATTTTTATGTGTGCGAGTGTTCTGCCTGCATTTAAGTACACCTGTGTCATGCAATGCCCATGTAGGCCAGAAGAGGGGTGTTGGATCCTCTGCAACTGGAGTTAAGAACAGTTGTTAGCCAATATGTGGGTGCTGAGAAACATGCCCAGGTCCTCTGGAAGAGCAGCTAGTGCTCTTAATGGCTGAGCCACCTCTCCAGCCCCGGCGTAGAGCTAATTCTTAAATTATTCTGAGATTACAATAGTTTGCAAGGTGAAGGCAAATGACAGAACAATTACACAAAATCTGAAGTTAATGATTTCTTTTAAAAGTTATTAAAAGAAAAAAAGAAAGATTTTCCTAAAAAGTAAATGACAAACTTTAGAATTTTCAGTGGTGGAGCATATCCTTAGAATGTGTGAAGCACACACAGTGTATGCAATTTCTGCAGTTATTATAAAGGCTGGGGGAGAGCACAGAAGGGAGCAGAGCACAGATGGCATGAACAGGCAATGGCTCCACAGTGTTCTGCATAAGATGATAATGTAGCAGAAAAAACTCCTATTGCCTAGCGACATGGTAAATGGAAGTTCAATGTACCCCCGTTAGTGGTGGTATCAGTGCAAGCAAATGCTGGCTGCCAGACTTACAGAAGGACAGCACATGCAGTTAACACTTAGCAATGACAATAAGCAATTATGTTACTGATCTTCATTTATCCTATGCTATAATTTTTAAGTGTTCCTTTGGATGGTACTCCTACTTATAATCATGCCAGCAGCAACCTCATACACTTCATGTGTGTTTAAGTATATTCTACTAGTGTGACAAAATCGCCTAGTGATGTATTTCAATGTTAAGGGGTACATAAAGTTCCAAAGAACAAATTCAGGAATTTAAAAATCTATTATGTCTAAGCCTATGAAGACAGCTGTCAATTCTCCCACAGGTCCTTGGACATTGACTCAGGAACTGTAGGCGAAATTGGAGATATGTAAAAATGGAGCCAGATTAAAAAAAAATATGGCCCAATAAACACCATTCAGAATGGAAACAGGAATTATTTTCTAAGAAGCTTTGTTTTTGTTGAACTACATGGTGCTGAAACCTAAAGTGGTCATAAACCCAAGGTTATATCTACTGACTGGGTTAAAGAAGCACCTTTAAAGGTATTTAGATGGCCAAAAGCATCAATTACAATTCACTTGGATTTTCTTCTATCCAAACCAAGGGTGACTAAGATCCACATTTTGACTACCATGAGAATGAAGCTTCCGTTAAAGATCTACTGGGGCAATGAAGCACTTAGGTATTAAAGCTCCATATTCTAAGAGGCAGGGGAAGTATAACTTGTTAATAAACACAATTTAGTCACATTCTCAAAAGGCAAAAATACATTTTTAAATGTTATATATATATGTGTATATGTGTGTGTGTGTGTATACTAATTTCTTCTACTCTTAATACCAGCACCGGGGAGGCAAAGGCACGTGGATCTCTGTGAGATTGAGGCCAGCCTGCTCACAGAGTGAGTTCCAGGCTATCTGTGGCTACAAGGAGACCCTGTCTGGAAAAGACACCAAACCAAACCACACACACACACACACACACACACACACACACGAACAAGATAAGTTGCCAAGTGTGATAACATTCTTACAGAAAGCAAATCAGGTCCAACCGCAGGGTAATCAGCAATACTTCAAGGCTAACTAAGTATTAGAGAAATGAAGAAATCTTTCAATTTCTCATCATACAAAGCAGGGAACAATTTAAGCCTATAATTTACACATACACACACAAATCTAAGCTTTCTCAAGTGGTTTAAAGCATATGCTAGTGTTTAACTCACATTAAAAAAAAAAAAAAAAAGTCAAGAGTACATTTACCAGTCCACACAGGACTCAGCATCACAAGCAGTTCTGGAGTTTATGGGGTCAAAGTAGTAAATTTCTGGATGCCAGGATTTAGTTACACAATTTTCTTTAACAATCTGTGAGGTATTGTGACTATATCTTGCTTCTGAATATAAGACTATCAAAGATGAGTCTACCACACACACTGGAAGACTAATGCCTGATTTTGCACACGTTTGGCTCAACTATGAGGTCTGACTTTTAAATCTATAAACAAAGGAATCTCGCAACATGCAAATAAATGTGGTAAAAAAGAACAATTTAAATTCAGATTTAAGTGCATAAATTGTGTAAATCATGTTTCCATAAAAGCTTAAAAGTAAAACATTTAACCTATTCCATGTAAATCTAACATGTAAAACATGCTCTGTGATTTAAAAAAATTTTTTTTTGGTCACAGTCTCTTTGTGTAGCTCTGGCTGGCCTGGAACTCTATGTAGACCAGGCTGCTGGCCTTGAACTCACAGAGGTCCAAATGCCTCTGCATCCTGAGTGCTGAGATTAAAGGTGTGTGCAACCACACTTGCCTTGTGGTTTTAATTTTTTTTTTTTTTTTGGTCTTTTGAAACAGGGTCTCCCTGCAGCCCCAGCCAGCCTGGAACTCACTATGTAGACCAGGCTGGCCTTGAACTCACAGAGATCTGTCTGCCTCTGCCTCCTGAGTGCTGGGATTAAAGGTGTGCACCACCACGCCCGGGCACTTTTAAATTTAAAACCATTCAGGGGCTCTAGTCAACTGGCAACTTGTCCCAGGTTCTACTTCTTCAAACTAATCAAAATATTCACTTACCGTCACAGTGAGTTAATATTACTGCAAAATACAGCATTTAAATGGCATTTTACAAACAAATAAGTCACATCTTTCTTTTTGAGACAGGTTCTTGTTATGTAGCCCAAGTTGGCCTGCCTGTGGACCCAGCTGGCCGGGAATTCACTACATAGAACAGGCTGGCCATGATCCCACAGCCATGCCCCTGCCTCTGCCTCCCAAGTACTGGGATTGAAGGTCTATGCTGTCACACCTACTAACATTATCTTTTTAAGGCAAGTTTGCTCTTTAATTTGCAGTCCAAAAAAGGAAATTGGGTCACCAGCCTGCCATTGATAAATCAGGTTTATTCATTTATTTGTTGTAGTACTGAGGACTGAACCTGGAGCATCACACACATGCTAGGCAAACGTTCAACCACTGAATTATGTTCTCAGGATCCCCACCTTTTTCAAACTTCCTATTTTGGGAAAGGATCTCTCGAGTAGTCCAGGTTGGCCTGAACTCACAATCAATTTGTCTTGGTCTCCCTAGTAGCTTGGATTACAGGCCTGCCCACCAGGGCTGACTAAATTTTTCATGCTGGGGACAGAACCCTGGGTTCTCAACCTGAAAATAGGCTGTAGCACTGTGTTACACACCCAGCCTACAAACTGATTTTAACTGGCTGCTACACATTTCTCTAGTACACACTCATCTCCACCCACCTAGTCTCATGAGCAGCATTTCTTAATCACACATCATGCTTAATTACCTTGAAGTTCGTCAACCTCCCTAAGAAGACAAAGCCACACAACCCAAGGAGTTAATCTGAAATTAACTTGTTAACAGGAAACAGAATCTGAGTAATATGGCTCAAAACCAAAAGAACTGCACTGGGTGGACCCAAGAGAAAACACAAACACACACACACACACACACACACACACACACACTCTCTCTCTCTCTCTCTCTCTCTCTGAACTTTTAAAATAGGATTTTTTTTTGAGGGGGGGTTGAGGTTGGTAAATCTTTAGAAACGGGAAACCCCATACTTTCTTTTCAGTATGCAAGGCTGCCCAACGGACCCATACCCTGATGACAGTTTTGATATGCAAGCCAAACAGGAAGCTCTTATGACTGGGAGTGACGAGTTCAAGGCCATGTTCTTGAGGTCTTTCCTGCCCAGGCTTTACGTTTTTCGGGTTCCAAGAAGGGCTGTCTGCCCTAACTGGCAACGCCAGATAGAACGACCAGCACAGTGACCATAAATGTCTGTTCCGAGAATGAAGATCCATTCCTTTGATTGGTAAGGTGGGAGGATACAGGTTACAACATGTATGAGGTGGCCTGGAGCCCCAGGAATTACATCCTCATCAAGGTGTCAATAACCCCACACAGAGAAGGGTGTTGGGGAGCGTCAAGAAAACTGCTGTAGACAGCCTGGCGCGGCGCTGAGCATCTTTAAGATCCGTACGGTCATCAGACCCCGGGCTTAGGCCTCAGGTTTCCAAATACCGGACCTCACCTTCTTCGCAGGCATTTGGCACCAGCCCTGGGGGTGTGGGGTGCCCTCTCTAGGACGCGGGGTCGGTCGCTCTCCCAGACCCGGGGAAGCCCCCCTTCCGCTCCCGGGGTAGGTGCAGGGAGCCAGGCTGCGTACCCGGTTTTCCAGCTCCGCGGGGAACTTGGTCTGGAACTGGCAGCGCGTGCCGCTGCTGTAGTCTCGCTGAATGAACACCTTCCCCGACACTGGCGCCTGCTGGGGCCTCATGGCGAGGACAGGACCCGCCGAGCTGCGAGCTGGGGGACGACACCGGTCAGATCCCCAGCCTGGAACCGGGACTCCGACCCGCCAGGCCGTCAGACCCACCCGCCACCCGAAGAGGCCCAAGGCCTCCCCCTCGCCACTCCCCTTCACCCATGGCAGTTGCCTAGAGCCTTCAGTTCCCCTAGCCCAGTGCCCGCGCCCCCCACATCCTGGTCCGGCCCTGAAAGCACAAACCCGCCTCCTCGGCCCTCCGGCTGCTATCGCACCACCTTCGTCGTCACTTACGTCCTGTCGCAAAAGCTTCGCTCCTCCCCTCAGCTCCGCTTCCTCCTCACGACTACGTCCCGCCCCCTGCGACCGTAAAGCGACGGCGCAGCCGTTGGGCTCGGGGCGGCCATTTGTGTTGGGCGGGCGTGTCCCTTCCGGGCAGAAGACGCCATTGTGGGAGTTCGGCGCTCTGGGCCGGGTTGTGAGGCTGAGATTTCTTTGTCTTGGCGAGGTGGTGTTTGGTTACAGATGGGGTTTTCGTTAACGACTGGGCTTCGCGGCGAGAGTAGCACCACTCGCCTCCGCCTCCAACCCCGGGCTAGACAACCGTGGCTCCCCAATTCTTCACACACACAGTTCACGGGCGTTTACAGCTAGAAAGCGATCTCCAGGGACTCGTTATCCCGGGAGGGAGGGAGGACGAAGAGCCCCAGGTCGCTCCCAGGCCTCCTTGTGCTCTTGAGGTTCTCTGCATCGGCGGACCTCCTTACAACCTCTGGCCCCACCACCTCGGTTCTGGGCTCCCACTTTGCTGACCCTGCCTTGCAAGGCAGTCAGAAAAACCCTGTCCAGGTCTGGTGCTTTCTGGCTAATACGACTTACACACGCCACTTTCTGATGATTGTATTCTCTTTGTATTTTAAAAAGCTTTAGCATCTAGGACATATAATAAACCAGTCATTTAAAGCAACCACAGTTGACTGAATTCTAACATGTTTACATACACCCTTAAACCACAGTTACAATAGTAAATAACACCTCTAAAAAGTTCCTTCCTTGTAATACCTATTTTCTGCCACTTAACAGCCTCTTTTGCCAAGACACTCCATTACTAGGAATGCTACATGTCCTTGAATTTCTTTTAAATTGAATCATCATAGTTTTTGGTCTGGCTTACTTCTTTTAGACTATTTTGAGTTTCCTGTCATCAGTAATTCCCTTTGTATGGATTTTCCAGGGGTTTATTTTCATTCACTTGATAGGCTTTTCGGTGTTTCCAGTTTCCTTCACTCTTAACCCGTGAGTCATCTTGCCAGCCCCATCCTTTTAAGATTGGAAGCACATTTATTAATACTCAGGTTAGCTTACAAAGTAATGAATTTGTTCCATCATGACATCTTAACATGTATGAAAGAAAAGTTCCCACAAAGAACTCTTACACCTTGGACTGAACTTCCTGCTGAGAGACCCGAGTTACTCCATCTTGGATAAAACCTCCATGGGACTGACCCAGCCCTGAACCCTGTTCCAGGAAAAACCACAAAAAAGAGTATACTTGGAAGAGATAGAGAACAACTCCCCTGCCAATGGTCAATTAACCAGGGATAGGAAAGTACTAAAAGTCCAGATATCTCTTCAGATTTCCTGAAGGCAGCAGTTTATGGTTTGGCACTGGACTGCAACCAATCAGATGCTTGCCAGGCTGGAGACCCACCCTCCCCTACTTGCTGAACATGCTGAAATAAACCCATAAAAACCTCTGTCTCCCACAGCAAGGGATCTCACATCTGAGATCCGCTGTGTTGGTGACAGAGTGGGCCCAAGCTTAAGCTTGCAACAACAAAAAAAAACCCTTATGTGTTTGCATCAGTCGGCTCCTTGGTGGTTTGGGGTCTCGTAAACTGGGCACATCTTGGGGGCTCGTCCGGGATACCCAAGGACCACCCCCCCCACCCCAGGACCCCTGAACCAAAGGATTCCTGGCCAGCCGGTAAGTGTCTGTTTGCGTATAGTTGTGCCTGTCTGTGTCTGTCCCAGCTTTTGTTTTGAGCCTTGAGGCAAACTTGTGAACAGTGTGGTCAGGAGCAGTTGGAGTGGACATGCTGGATGACCATGACCACAGAGGTCTGGAAGATGTGCCAGACCCCGGCAGAGGGGATGGAGGGCCCTGGACTCGATTTCTATGAAAGGACAAGGCAGGTCACTCCTGTGGCACGGCAGTTTGCCACTGTCCTACTTTCAGTTTTTCTTCCATGCGAGCGGGGGAATTTACTACTTGGCCTTCTGTGTGTCTTTCTGGCTCTCTGTTTTGTCTTTGGTTGTCTATTTCTCTGTGACTGAGAAGGACGCAATGGGACAGACTCCCGCTACACCCCTGGACCTGGTTCTTGCACATTTTAGAGAGGTTAAGACTTGAGCCCATAACCTCTCTGTTGTTGTCAGGAAGGATAAACTACTTTCTGCAGGTCTGAATGGCTCACTTTCAACGTGGGATGGCCCTCGGAGGGGACCTTTGATCCCGCTGTCATTAACGTAGTTGAGAAAATTATTCTTCAACTGCATGTAGGATACTCGGATGAAATATCATACATAGTGGTCTGGGGAGATTTAGTTAATAACCCTCCTCCTTGGGTCAAGTCAAGTCTTTTCTTCCTTTACAGAAAACTGAGGTGCTGACAGCTGCAGAACAGAAAATGACAACCCAGAAAACACCTAAACCTGAAACCAAACCATCAGTACTGTCACTGTACCCTGTCTTACAGGGCGGCACAGAAGAAGATCTAATTTTTCCTCCCCCTCCTTATTCACCTCCTCCACAGTAGGTACCTGCTCTGGAACCGGCACCTGGTACCAGATTCTTCACAGGCACAGGGGGGACCAGCTCGGGACTAGGAGTAGAAGGGCAGCAACACCGGAGGGTCCAGATTCTACTGTTCTACCCCTCAGAGTCGCCGGCCCCGCAGATGAGGCTGGCAACCAGCCCCATCACTATTGGCCATTCACCACTAGTGACCTTTACAACTGGAGAACCCAGAATGCTCACTTTTCTAAAAATCCTAAGGAGCTTATTACTTTATTAGAAACTGTCTTATTCACACAGCAACCCACTTGGGATGATTGTCATCAATTATTACAGGTCCTGTTTACCACAGAGGAAAGGGAACGTATCCAAACAGAAGCCAGGAAGTTAATTCCTGGCAATACTGGTGTCCCTAGTACTGACCCAACACTGATGCTGCCTATCCACTGACCTGGCCTGATTGGGATTATAATACTGCAGAAGGTAAGGGGAGGCTTCTGGTTTACCACCAGGCTCTGTTGGCAGGTCTCAAAGTGGCTGCTCATAGGCCAACTAATTGGGCAAAGGTATATGATATTAGTCAGGACCTAAATGAAAGCCCAGCTGCATTCTTGGAGCGAATAATGGATGCCTTCCGCAGGTACACTCCATTAGACCAGGAGGCCAAAGATAATATAGCGGCAGTGGCCATGGCTTTTGTTAACCATTCAGCTCTGGATATAAAGAAAAAGCTCCAGAGAGTGGAGAGACTGGGTGAGAAGAGCTTAAGGGATTTAGTAACTGTGGCCGAGAAAGTACAATAATAGGGATAGTTCAGAGGAAAAACAGATAAAGGCAGAAAGGAGGCAGAACAAGGACATGGCAAGGATTCTGCTGGCTGCCACCGCAGATCCAAAGGACTGGTGGAGGTGTCTGAGACAGATAGCTTCGGGGAAAGGAGGCAAGGAAGACTTTCAGAAAAGAGGGCGACCTCAACTAGGGAAAAATCAGTGTGCATAAAGAAGAAGGCCATTGGGCCAGAGAATGCCCCAATAAGAAAAGCCCCACCAAAGTACTCAACCTTGAGATAGGAGATAGTAACTAGGGGAGATGGGGTTTGGCCCCCCTCCCCGAACCTAGGGTAACCAAAGGTTTTTTGGTGGACACAGGAGCCCAATATTCAGTGCTCTCAAGCCCAATGGCCCCCTGTTAAAGTATCATGGGTCCAGTGGGCCATGGGAATGAAATAATATCCATGGACTACCTGAAGAACAGTGAACTTGGGAATGGGCTGGATATCCCATTCTTTTATGGTATGCCATGGTATGGTATCCCATTCTTTTATACCAGAATGCCCATACCCCTTGCTGGGGTGGGATCTGTTGACAAAATTAGGAGCCCAGATACATTTCTCATCAGAAGGCACCTGAATATTAGTGCTAGTCTTTGTAGATACTTTTCCAGGATGGGCTGAAGCCTTCCCTACTAAACATGAAACAGCTCAAATGGTGGCAAAGAAACTGTTGGAAGACATCCTCCCCAGGTACGGTTTTCCACAGATGATAGGGTCAGATAATGGACCAGCTTTTGTGTCCAAGGTAAGTCAGAGTCTGGCCACAGTTCTGGGGATTGATTGGAAACTACATTGTGCTTATAGATCCCAGAGTTCAGGACAGGTAGAGCGAATGAATAGAACTCTGAAAGAGACCTTAACTAAATTGACCTTAGAGACCCTCTCTGTTCTTCTAGGATTGGGACTGATAGGAGAAGGTACAGGAATTTCAGCCTTGACCTTACAAAGCCAGAGCTTTAGAGCCACAATAGATGCGGACATCCAGAACTTAGAAAAGTCTATTTCCTATCTACAAGAATCCCTAACCTTCTTGGCAGAAATGTTCTGCAGAATAGGAGAGGCCTAGACCTGTTGTTCTTGCAGCAGGGAGGCCTCTGTGCTGCCCTCAAGGAAGAGTGTTGTTTTTATGTAGATCACTCCGGGGTTGTCAAAGAATACCTGGACAAGGTTAGAGAAAGTCTTGCTCAGAGAGAACAAATATAGGGCTAAGCAAGGATGGTTTGAATCCTGGTTCAATAGCTCCCCTTGGTTGACCACTTTGATTTCAACCTTACTTGGACCCCTCCTCATTCTGATTATGCTCTTGACTTTTGGACCTTACATTTTAAATAAATTGGTAGCTTTTATAAAAGAGTGGCTGGGAGCTATACAGCTAATGGTAATGCAAACCCACTATCAGTCCCTCCAGAGTCTGGGTGATGAGGGAGTGTCCATGATTGGGCCCCCAAGGTACTAGTCAGAGGGGAGAATGAGAGACCTTAGTGACTCCATCTTGGATAAAACCTCCATGGGACTGACCCAGCTCTGAACCCTGTTCCAGGAAAAACCACACAAAAAAAGTATACTTGGAACAGATAGAGAACAACTCCCCCTCCCCAATGGTCAATTAACCAGGGACACAAAAGTACTAAAAGTCCAGATATC